GGATGGGGGTGTAAAAGAGGTAACATGATACTTGTACATTATGAGAAATATCTATAAGATCATTTGATAATAAAAAGAATTTATACATACTCTAATTCATCTATGAACTTATTAATACAGGGTATAAATACAGGGCAGGACAATACTCATTTTTAAGTGAGGAAAGTCGTGTGAAGGGCCTTTCCAAAGGGCACAAGATCGGTGGCATGTCAGATCTCTTGGTTCCGACTCGAGCACTCTGCCGCTACGCCACACGACCCACGACAAAATCCAAAGTAAAATCTGAAATTTGTAGTAGACTTGTGATGTACTAAGCTATCAAAACGCTTTTTTCAAGTTCACCTGCCATATTTTTGGCTTAATTTATATATTAGGCCATGTTGATTTGATTATATGGATGACATCCTCCGGGAGCCCCAAAACTGATGCGCGCGTGCGAGTAAAAAAAAGTTTTGCAAAAAAAAAGTTGTTTTCATTATGAAATCTACGTGGTCATGAGGGTTGAACAAATGGGACAGAATATGGTTTGGCGAATAATCTAATCTTCAAGTTCATTTCCTTACAATTTCGTCTTTTTTTGTTTGATTTTGGCATTCTACGACATTGGTATAGTTTTTACTTATCTTTTTTTTTGGCGACGCCTTTGGGGCGGAGGCATTTGTGTAAGTACTACGATCGCTTTGAAAGAATTTCAAAAACTAGAGTTCCACGATCTCATACCTTCGCCAAATGATGTTAGCCTTTATGAATAAGAAATATACTAATCACCCTGATTATGCAAATAGGATCCTCAATTGCATGAATTATATCAGTCTGTTGATCATATTCTCCATCAAAAGACAGTCTAATCTTAAACAATGCCATTTTCTCATAAATTATGCAAATGTGGTCCTTATTTGAATAAGTTATGTTTATATATGTTCACCTTTACTTAATTCTCAAACACCCCAAGTATGAAATTCCAGGCAGTTACCACTACGCAATTATAACATTTTCTCATTAATTATGCAAATTAAGTCTTCATTTGCATAATCAATATTTGCCTGTGTTTCTCTCGTTCTTAATAACATATGTTACAAGCTTGAACTTCCTATCATGGAATGCAGCTGATTTATAGAATTTCCTCATTAATTATGCAAATTACATCAATATTCGCATAATTGTAATATCATTATGTCAAGCATCACTTCAGCTACCTACATACCAAAAATCACGATGATCCATCAATCGGTTCTTGAGTTATCCTCTTTTAAACATTTGTCCTTTAAACCCCCCTGCA